TTAACTATGCCAAGTTGTAGATTTCATCAGAATGTTAGTGTATCGCATCTCGTTTCAAACTCGTAATGCACTTAACTAGACTACCGGTTAGCTTAATCTTAGGTGACGGTATAATAATACCTAGCTCAACGCGTTTATATACAAATGAGAATTTATAGCAACAAAAGAGAAAGACCCTTTGAGTATTATAAGTACCTAGGTATGTAATACGACAGTACAGTTGTGATGGTAAATCGACATTATAAGTCAGGGTTAGTTAGATACCTAGCTGTTATCACACTGCGCTACAGTGTATCAGCCAGCGTTGAAGGCCCGCTAGCCAGAGGGGTAGGTACACTATATTGTTCCATATCTACCTGTACTTAAGTACTTAGTAGGTAGTGTAGCAGCATGATCCATCCATCAGCCACCGGCCCCCATACCAGACTAACCCAGACCTGTCTTACCTATCTCTTGGTCTCACGCCAATAACTCAAATGTCTCCAAAAGCGTAAGGCAAGGCGAGAGAGTGTTGGTCGGTCTGCCAACAACGTCAATTTTGTAATTTTATACCGACCTCAATACCCTACAGCTACATCCATCACTTCCGCTCTTTGATCGCGCCAATTCAATGCCGAATACTCGGATACATTGCCGATGCTGAGTGTCTAAGACCACCCGACCGACCGATGTGCTTGCTCGGCAGCTCCTGTTTGCTTCCCTTCTCCTTTTCACTGTAAATCCGTCCACTCCTTTACCGTCGTACCGTGGCGTGTCGGCTTCGTCTTCCATCTTCGTTCGCTCGCTCGCTCGCTCCCGGATCCCCGGATTCCTGCCTCGGCCCTATATTTTCCACCTAATACCCCATTGACGCTCTCGTTTTCGTTTCTACTTCCTTTTTCACCGCCAACCACCCCCTCTTGGCTCCGATGTGCTCTCGTTGAATTATCCTTGAGATTATTATTACGTCGCCATGCCATCCGAGAAGTCCCGGTACGAGCCGGCACCGCCCATACCGTCGTACGAGGAAGCCACCGCCGGCGATGCATCATCCTCTAGATCGCCGTGGCCACCGTCTCCGTTGCCGACGCCCGCAGACACGAGGCCTGACCACGAGACCGAAGCCGAGTCGCTTCTCCACCACAGCAGACCACTCGACTCATCGAGGAGGGCACCTGCGGGCTACCGGCCTCCTCGGGTCGAAACCGACGACGAAGGGTCAGAATGGAGCCTTGACGAGGACAACGATGACAGCGATGGGGATGAAGCGGCCCAGGTGCGGCGTGAGATGCAAGAGTTGGAGATAGAAGACCCCCTTAGCGATTCGGGCGCGAGCACGTCGTCGTGGACGAAACGAATAGGCTTTTCGCGCTTCTCGTTACCACGATGGAAATGGAGGTGGCGTTTGCCGCGGCTGACCGTTCGACTACCTCGCCAGTCCGACAATGCGAGCAACGACAGCAACGACGCGGAGAACAGCGAAGCGAGCGAGACAAGAACGAGATGGCGTTTCCCGACCTTCACCGTGACCTCTCGCGACATTGTGATACTAGTCGGCCGACTGCTTGCCCTCTTTGCCGTCTTCGGCACCGTCTACCTTCTCTTCGTGAGCGACCTCTTCACCAACATGTCTCGACGCCTCAACGGCCAGATGTTCGACCCCGAGGCCGTGCGACAGTTCGTACAGCTACGCGTCGAGTCCGAGCAGATAAAAGAGTCACTAAAACACTTCACGAGCTTTGCGCATCTCGCTGGCACCGAGGGAGATTATGCGCTTGCCATGGATGTGCACAATAGCTTTGTGAATGACGGCTTCGACCAAGTCGCCGTAGATGAATACTACGTTTACCTCAACTACCCCAAGAAAGACGGTCGCGTTGTCGAGATCATGTCGCCGGATGGGAAGAAGCCCACTTGGACTGCGTCGTTGGAGGAGAATGAAGTGGGCGTAGAAACCGCAGGCCGTCAGACATACGCCTTTCACGGTCATTCAAAGTCCGGAGATGTCAAGGGTCCGCTGATCTATGCGAACTATGGCTCTCGAAATGACTTCAAGAAACTTAAAGAGATGGGCATTGACACTAAAGGCGCCATAGCACTCGTCCGTTACCACGCCAAACAGGATAATCTTGCGCTGAAGGTTAAGGCAGCAGAGATGGCAGGCTTTGCCGGATGCATCGTCTACACCGACCCCGCCGACAACGGTTATCGCCAAGGTGAGCCTGCGCCAAAAGGACGGTTTATGCCGGCTGATGGTGTTGAGAGGGGCTCAGTAAGTCTTTCCAACTGGGTCATTGGCGATGTGCTCACCCCTGGCTGGGAGAGCAAAGAGGAGAACCCCCGTATGAAACTAGATCAGACGAAAGGGCTTGTTCACATACCGAGCTTGCCGATTGCTTGGCGGGATGCACAAGTGTTACTACAGCATATTAAAGGCTTTGGCGAGCCAAGCCCGGCGAGCTGGGTAGGTGGCGTCCCAGATGTAAAGTGGTGGACTGGTAACTCCTCGTCGCCCGTCGTACGTCTCAAGAATGATCAGGACGCCAACGAGAAACAAAAGATCTGGAATATTTACGCTAAGATCGAGGGCATTGAGCAAGGCGAGAAGTCTATCATCATCGGCAACCATCGTGATGCCTGGGCTTTTGGCGCCTCGGAACCCAATTCCGGCACAGCCATCATGCTCGACGTGGCACGCGTTTTTGGCGAGCTAGCAGCTAAAGGCTGGCGCCCCCTCCGCTCCATCGAATTTATGAGTTGGGATGCAGGAGAGTACAATATGATAGGGAGTACCGAGTTTGTTGAAAAGAATCTTGAGGTTCTTCAGAAGCAGGCCTTCGCATACATCAACTTGGACGGCGCTATCTCTGGCCGGAACTTCCATGCGGCTGGGTCCCCCATGTTTCGCAAACTGGTAACGAAGGTCATAGAAAGAGTCTTTGACCCTATCGCCAACGCAACCCTATTTGACTTATGGAGGGATGGGAAAGCCGATCTCGAGCCTCTCGGGTCCGACAGCGACTATGTTGCCTTTCAGGACATGGCGGGGACCAGTTCATTAGACATTCGCTTCGACGGCGAATCGCATCCCTCCCACTCTTCATACGACAACTTCCAGTGGATGGAATCCATTGGCGACCGAGATTTTGTGTATCATGGTTTGCTTGGCCAGGTACTCGCGCTTCTTATCATAGAGCTTTCTGATAGGCTGATTCTACCCTTCGATTTGGGACATTATGCCTCTAGTTTCGACCGCTTTAATGGTAATCTGAGGAAATGGGCCGATGATAAGGGTATCACCCAGGGTGACAAGGCAAAGATCAACTTGAATCCCATCAAGCACGCAATCGAGCATGTCAAAAAATCCGTCTCACAATTTGAGAAGTGGGAGCCATATTGGGACCAAAATATCATCGCATCTAACGGATGGGAGCCCGCGGGCTTAGGCGTCCGACGACTTGACTATAACAATCGCATGTCTACCTTTGAGACGGACCTACTCGATCTTGAAGTCGGTGGTGGTGTATGTTCTCTGCCTCTACTCACATTGATGCGGTGCATTTATAACTAATGATGAACAGATACCAAACCGAACACAATTTAAACATGTCATTTTTGGCCCGCAGCTCTGGCCCGAATACGATGAAGCGTACTTCCCCGCGATACGGGATGTAATCGAAACAGAAGACTGGCCACTTGCGCAGTCTATCATCGATAAGACAGCCAGAATTATCACCGAGGCCGCCGAGAGGCTTGTCGCGGTATGAGCGACTCATGCACGCCCTTGTTTTTTTACGCAAAGTGGACACGCGCAAACGCGATTTCTCCTTGTTTATAATTAGATGATGGCCCGAAGCAGCCCTAGGTCGACTTGACTTGACTGGGTTTACTGATTGATTGATTGCATGGCTTGGCGTTCCGGTGGTGCAGACCTACTACCTACCTACCTACCTACCTACCTCCTCATTTCTTCCACTATATTTTATGGCAATAGGTAGTAGTATAGGTAGAACCGCGACTGATTGATCGGCGGATCGGTTTTGTTTATGAGAAGAAGAAAAAATCAAATAAAGATCCTGACTTCCCCTCCTCGCTTTGGGGTAGGGATTCGCTGAATGTTATGTATATGTCCTATATTCTACTCATAATACCCAGCCGGATGCATGGTATGGAAGGCTAGACCTACTTGTTCATTATGGACTCTTTTTTTGTGTTTATGTGTGAAATGGTACTGTATGTAGTACGTGGGTAGAAACTTGCTATGTGAACAGTTTATGATAGTACTGATTGATCTTAATACATTAAGCGCTTTCTCATGGGGTCGCGCAGCATCTTGTCGCGCCAGAGAAACCTCCACCTAATAGCCTCTATCTAATTGTCCAGCAGCTTCTGGCACCCTTTGTGCATTTACCTTACCTTTTGCTTATCGGGAATGTGGATCTCTATAATCCAAAGCTTTCGAATAGACAGACAGACAGAACAGACGGACGGACGCCTTGTACGGTGAGTTTCAACTGGTCTGAAGCTACCTTGATCTGCTGCAGTTTATTTAGTTTAGGAAATAGGCGCGAATTACAAGAGCGAATTAACGGCTGAGATATAGGATGAGTTACGACGAGCCTTGTGTTATGGATCTATCTAGTGGATAAGATGGATGACATGATCTATGGGTGGGGTTGTTGGCGCGTTCACATTGTATGATGGATAGATAGGGGTTTCTGTTCATGGTAAACTAGCATCTCTCATCGTGCGTATAGCCTCAAATTGTTAATTATGCTCGACAATTCGAGATATGAAAATTTTTTATCCCAATGAGTTCATTAGGATCTAAGTTCTACAATTGTCCGAGCAAAAAGAGGCTTTCCAGGTCCCAGCTCTGCGACAACTATGTTCGACGATGATCTGGCATCTATCTATCACACATGAACGAACCGAACCACCTATGAACGGTCAGGTTCTCGGGGAAAATAGGAAAAATATGAAAAAATGTAGCGACATTAACTGTCGTTTGCTGATGTTGATGCGGTGAGTGCGGATCGAACGCACGACCTTCAGATTATTAGAATGAAGTGTTACTTCAGTCTGACGCTCTCCCAACTGAGCTATCCCCGCTTGCTTGTAGGTCTGAGGTCTTATACTATTTCAAATAGGTAATGTCCACTCGATAGAAAGACGCTAGCTAGGTTGCCAAACAGGGGTCTATCATGAGCTATCTCCACTACCTCCGACTAAGCTTTGGAGGAAAATAATAACATTATGTTACTCTTCTACTAAATCTATATTCCTCCACATATTCTGTACTTGATTTATGTATGTTTAATTGCATACGAATCATTATTTATCATGGTGAGGGGAGCACCCTTCGACCTGTTGGTGGTGGGGTCTAGCCTAGGTCATGAACGCCAACGCGATGGGAGACTGATTAGACTTATCAAATCAATCACCAATAGATCAAAGTCCAGGGGAGATTGATGATCTCGAGTGGAACAGTAGTTTTAGCTTGTATTCATGGGGTCGGTCTATGTAGCTTAGCGGCTTTGATTATTGGGAAATGAATGACGAGATGAGGACCTTGATGGCGACAACCTTGATGGCCGGATCAGAACGCGGATAGCTGCTCACATAAGAATAAGAGAGAAATCGACGCTGTTGTTTCTTTGATCCTATTCCTTCCTACGCGTTTAGATGAGAATCGGAAAATAAATCACTTCTCTTCGAGTTGATACTTATTCTCACAGTTCATACATTATTCCTTGTCCTCAAAGTTGTTGAGCTCTTTAGACGTGGCGTTCAATATAACCTGTTTAAAGTGGTGTACTACGATAACCCATAGTTTAAACTATAAACAGTCACCTTGTTCCAGTCAGCCATCATGGAATCACCTTTCATGCGCATGCCCTGCGAGCTTCGCCTGATGATTTACGCATACCTCTTCGTTACCGGGGACGCAGACGCCAGCACCGACACCAGGGGCAACCTGAACTCAGGCACAGGTCTCAGAAGCAGCGGGAAGGTTAAAGTGCCCATACCGAAGACCATCTCGATCCGAAACGGCGAATCTGACACGCCGTACCTGCATCCAGAATGCAACAAGTGCGCACAGTACAACAAGGGACACCCCAACAGCAATCCCTCCTCCTCTACATATAATGATAACCATACCCCCAAGCCCACGCGCACCCGCTACCACGTCATAGACCGCTCCTTCAACCGCCGCTGCGTCGAGACTACGTACTGCATGGTGAACAAGGGCGCCTCCATCTGCGCGGCCCTGATGCGCGTCAACCGCGCTGTGTATGCGGAGACGGCGGAGCTCGTCTACGGCGAGCATACCTTTGACTTCGGCTGCGACGTCGAGGCCGTCAAGCCCTTTCTGTCAGACCTTACGCCTGCCACCCGCCGTCTCGTGACGCGGCTTGCGCTGTATAAGAAGGGGCCGTGGCTGTACGATTGCTGGAGCGATCGGTGCGAGTGGCGTACCAGTGAGTAATGATAATAATAATAAATAGCCATTCTTCTTCTTCTTCTTCTTCTTCTTCTTCTGGATTCGGATGATAATCTAATGTTCTTCTTTTCTTGTCTTGTTTAGTGTGCACGTACCTCCGCGACCACGGCTCCGTGGAATACCTGCGCCTCGTCGTGCAGGCCGGCCGTCTTGCGGACACGGCGCGGCGGCGTGGTAATGATTGGGAGGAGGAGGAAGACGGACCTCGCGAGCTCACGAGCAAAGACGTCGCGCTCCTGGTGGATATCCGCCACGACACGCTGCATTGGGTTGGGGATGTCGTTCGCTTGAGGGGTCTTCGTGGCGTCGAGGTCGTCCCGGACTTCTGCACTGTGCCACCTCCCCAGACTTCGAATATGTTTGTCTTCTTGGCGTTCTCAGCTTCGGTTGATACTGGGTTTAGAGAGTTTTTGAACGAGCGACTTAGACTGGGGTAGATGGTGATTTGTGTGTTTTTATAATATTGAGGTTGATAATGAAGTGGTGTGAATAGTATAGGAGAGGCTAGTTAAGGGGTTATGCGTCACTTAGGTGGTTAAGCTAGAGTTAAAAATGATAACTATACAATAGGTGAAAAAGAACAACCATAGATAGTGCTAGCGCGGATTTTATTTGATTAAATCGAATTGTGTTCCCCTTGATCCAATTAGTCCTCCGATTAGTTAACCGAATCGACAATCTGAAGTGCCTAGGAAGTGTAGGTTGAGTCTATCTGCTGAAGGCTCGAAGTGGCTGGTGGGGTTAGACATAAATTAATTTTGTTACTATTCGCAGAAAGCTCGTATAACAGCCACTACGAAGTCTATACAAACCTTTATACAGCTTTTTTTTTTCTTAACTTCGTTGGGGTTTGACGTAGGTATTGCAGCGAGGCCCATGGGCCAGCGCCCACCCAGGAGACCTTGCCTTCGGGAGATAGGCCGCTCCCTACACTTCCCGAAGCCTTCGCGTTCAGAATTCACAGTTTTCGAATGGGGAACGTGTTGATCTCGTTAAATGAAGTCAATTCGTATGTCTATTTCGTGTGTGTTCAAGTGCGCTGCCTATCTTCCTTTTTTCTTCAAGGTAGCAGTTCTACCTAATTAATACCCCTTTTACGCCTTAGCCTGGCCACGAAGTGGCTGAACCAGTCATTATTGCATGTCCACCTACACCACTTTAGTATATAAGGCCGAGGGGTTGGAGGCGACTGGCGATTTTAGTTTGAACTACTCCGGCTTCATTCTTAAACAAAATTGCGAACGCGCATGCGACTTCATTCGGTATTGAACGCGGATAGATTCAAAGACCGTTCCTCGCTACCTTAATTTTCAATATAGCAGTAACATGTATTCCTCTAGAGCTGGATAGCCAAACCATGGCTTGTACATCCCCTAACGAAGCTATCCATGGCTATCCATCAGAGCCAGGGCCAGCAACTGGTAGGCGTTTCTATAAAGACGATAACCAACACCCTTCGGTAGTGTTCAAGTTGCGTCCGGACCTGCATAGATTATATTCACTAGGATGTCAAGACTGGGTGGCTTTACTGGAAGTCAAATGCTTTGACGTCCCTCGCTTGATGCGCGAAGGTTTCTACTGGGACTTTTCCAATGCCATCAAAGAAGAAGGTTATTTTGAGTATGGGAATGAGCACCCTAACCTAGCGGACTTGACGTCCCTGTCTGCGCAACCAGAACACACGCATTGGCTTTATGTATAACTTGTATTAGGAGGCCTATTTCGGCTGGCTTTTGCGGCGAGGCTAGATACTAGAAATAAACACACATAACTTTGATAACTTGATAATAGTATAAACATCTAGAGGGCAGGCTGGTCGATTTTTCGTCGTGTCTAATTCGTATATATCCCGATTTGTGATGTTGCAGAAAAGAAGTTGTGTAGTAGGTCCTCTAAATCCCGTAGATGATTCATCTTTATAATATTGCTGCGAGACAAACAACAAAACATTATACATCACCCTCCATGGCCACAATCTGATCGTCGTCATCTCCAGGCAACTCCACAACATCGCTCTTCGTTATTACCCGATACTCCTCCTCACTTCCTTCACCTAACCCGCTTGCAGACAGTTTGCCATCCCCTAGGCCATAAAACTCCCGAAACGACATGATTAGTGGTCGCCATTTGTCTGGATCGACCCTATTCGGATGTCCTTCCATGCGCAAATCTTTGAAGATATAAATACGTAGTACTCGGACTTCGATCGCGAGGATGATACCGTTACGATCAGGCAAGTCCTTCCGGAGTCCGTTAACCTGGACCACCTGGCACTCCATCTGTACTGGACATTCGGCAATTCGAAGGGGAGTAACAAAGCTCGAGGGCTGTGGGTGGAATCCAGCTCTTTCCCACTTATTCGTGACAGACGTGTACCCGCCTGGGACTCTGTCCGAGGGAACAGGATTCAACCCGGTAGTAAGGGCCAACTTGTTGACAGACGCTGCCATAGAATCGCTTGGTAAGTTGAGGACACATTCGTTCGTGCGTAGAATGTTTTGAGCCGTCTTGGAATAGGCGGCAATTCCGAGCATGCACGAGTGTCCGAGCCACCATGCAGAAGATATAGGCGCGATATTGCTTGTCTTGTCTTCATTCTCAGACGTGACTAAAACTACTGGCGTGCCCCAGTAGAGAATCGCGGGAGAGATGATCGTGTGTTCGTTTGACGACATGTTTGTAAAGATGGATGGGTTATAGGACTTTTAATTAAAAAAGAATTAGTGCTTAGACTTCTCAATCAATGGAATGTTGGTAAGGTAAGGGCGTGGACTTGTGAAATATACCATTTTTGAAAGCGATCTATACTGGCTTTACTCGAAGATTAAATACTAGAAGATCCAACCCGCCAACAATATTAGATAGAGGCTGGGTGCTCACCGCGGAGTTGCTCATCTCAACGTTTCGGTGAAGAGTCACATATCATCGACAGCCAACACATGAATTGCATTAGAATCTATTTCTGAGCAGGGAAAAATCATCTGGAATCATTTCTACTTATCGCGATGATTCGACCCGCTAGGACTGTGTGTTGGCTGATGGAAATCAGGCAAACTAGCAATCTGATTGGTCACTTCCAGAACAATGCTGACACTGACGATGACTCCACTGAAAGATGAGCCTTGTTCCGGACCTTGGCCCCGGTACTGATTAAACCCCTTTCCGGTTATCATCAATTCTTTCAATGAACTGCTGTATCTCCGAGGAACCTATCGGGGCTTACTCTGTCAGGAAATCCAGATATAATCACATCTTCTTAGGACATATGAACCCTATGTATATCATTCTTTAACATCTGTTTCCCCTTTGTACTCATTGACCCGACTTGTAGCGATCGTGAGGATTATTAAACACCGAGTATGCTCAAATATGAGAGCTTCGCAGATAATAGTTAATCTGGCGACAACGTTTTCGAAAGTTGCAAGTTTTCAACCCTCCGAAGCTAGTTGGGAAACCTAGAGTTCTACTGTTATTTAAGCTTTAGATTACCTGATACAGCTGTAGATGGACCACTCAAACATGTTGTATTGCAAGGTGGTGTAGCGATGTTGTTGAGGGAATGGAGGCTATTGACTGGCATCCACTGTGAGGGGTAATCTGTATACGC